TTTGCTTGCCCAGTGGTGCTGTGTGTCGGACATATTTCTGTATGCAATAGCAACCGAGAGCTAGTGCGCTGCTACATGTGTAAAGTTTCCAATACGCTAATATTCAAGATTTGTATTTGAAGTCTCTTAATTTGAAGTCCAAGGCTGCATTTATATAATCAAAATACCGTAAAACTGTAATATTGTGGATTATTACAATTTAAAATAACTTTATTTTAATATTTTTAAGCATGTAAATTATTCCTGTAAACCTTATTCCAGGTCCTTCAGAAATCATTCTAATATGCTGATTTGGTGATGAAGAAACATTATCAATACGATTATTATCAATGTTGAAAACATCTGCATTTTTGTGGAAACCAAGATAAATTTTTTCAGGATTCTTTAAAGCATAGAAAGCTCAAAAGAACAATTTTTTTTTAAATAGAAATATTTTATGACACAAATGTCATTAGTCACTTTTAAACTATTTAATGCATCCTTGCTGAATAAAATAATTCATAAACAAAAAAAACTAGTGAATTTTGGTACTGTCATAGAGGTAAATATAAATGTTCATATATGTGACCCTGGACCAGATAAGGGTACATTTTTTGAAATTGAGATTTATACATCTGAGGGTGTATTGAAGGGGAAAAAAACTTTTTGAAATGAAGTCCTTGGCAATGCATATTACTAATAAAAAAAATTATGTTTTGATATACAGTAGGAAATTTACAAAATATCTTCATGGAACATGATCTTTACTTGGTATCGTAATGATTTTTGGCATAAAACAATTCGATCGTTTTGACCCAAACAATGTATTTTTGGCTATCGCTACAAATATACCCTTGCTACTTGAGACTGGTTTTGTGGTCCAGGGTCACATATAAAGAAGCAGGATTTATTTACGTTCTAATCCGAGGAGGCACAACTAAAGGGCACTTGGCATCACCTTCCTCCAGCTGGGTCGGGGTACGTCGTCTTGAGCTCACTAACAAACTGTGTTCCTCCTGAAGAGAGCTGCTTCTCATCACTGTTTGTGCCACAATCAAGAACAGAGGGTTGAAATGATGCCTTCCCAGTTGATGAAATACACACATGAATGACACCTTTCACCTGCAGAACCCTGACTGACAGATATAAGGCCAGGGAGGAAAATGAATGCTTTTAACGGTCATAAAAAATAAAATTTAAAAAAGGCAATTTATCAGAAACAATGGAATGTAAAACCGGAGCCAGATTTTGCATGTTTGAATTGTTTTTCATGAAAATGAGACAGAAATGGTGAACTTTATCTTGTACACATTGACAAATTTGTTTCTGATGTGTAGTTAACCAGTTTTAGCTGAAGAAAGTCACCACAAATAGAAAAACAGACTTTCAATCTTTCACCATTATTTGTATTGTTAAAAGAATAACCTGACAAGGTTGCATTATTAACTGCTGCAGTACTATAAGAGCATATTTCAAAAAGGAGCTAAACTTTATGAATGCATTCTCTGAGATAATTTTATCTTGACATTTTGATTTGATTCTAAACACCATGTTTTTTTGGGAGTCGAAGCCCTAATGCTGCCGTTAACTAACACATCAGTGGTTTAGCAGCACACTTTCAAAACGTTGCACCTGGGAGTCATTTTATTGAGTATTTATGTAACGATCTTTGTTTATTCAAAGTATCTCAATCACACAAACAAAAATCAGTGTTAAAGCACAATTACTAGGTCTCACACAAATCTCATATATTGAGTAGCTCAGAAGCTGCTGTCTCAGAGTAGGACATCATTCTGTGCACGTTGTGCTCTCTATCTTGAAGATATAGGCTCATAACAGTAAAACACCATGATATAGCCAATCCATTTGGTTACAATATGAAGCAGCTTACGTTACCGAGTGCACTTAAGCTTTACGCAACAGGAGGACTAATGCATTTTCCAGAACTGGAAACTGGCCCAGTTCAATGAACCGAACAAAAGAGCACAGCGTGTCATGCCATCTGGTGAAACGTTAGCGAGAAGCTTTAGCAGAAATCTACACAACAAATGTTACAAAGTTACACAACAGAACATGCACAAACGTATTCATACTATAGATGCGTTAAGATGTCAAAATCAAATCTAGATTAAAAAATGATATAAAAACATTCGTGCCACTAGTTCTCACAAAATGGCCTTCGGTTATACTTTAATCAATCCGCTGCATTGGCAAAACAAACAAGTCTTTCACAGTCTTATTTGCTTAAAACATGTTCCTTTCCCTTCAAGACCAGTTTCCACTCATTTAAAGAGATGATCATCTCCAACTCCATGATATCTGCCAGAATTTCATTTTCAACATGAGAAAACCCACCGCTCATGGCAAGATAGATCTAACGTTTCATCACGGCCCCAAACCCAAACATTTCCCATACTGGAAAATTACTTCCACTTTTGGATGCGCTTCAATCCCTTTCACTATTCACCAGACTCTCAAGAGACATTAAAGCAGTCAATCTGGACTTGAAAAAGAATCACAAGAAGAAACACAGTCTGAGGAGCTCCAGAAAGTCCACGTCCAGAAGAAACCTGACTCTCAGCAGGGTCCTGCTGGGTGCCATTCCTCAGACCATCCGTGACGTTGACCATCTCCTCCCTCAGCTCCTGCTGTAGAAGTTTGGAGATGAGGCTGTTGAACTTGTTCTCCACGGTGGAATACTCTGGAAGAGACGTGGTCAGGTTGAGCTCCGGGGGATCCAGACAGGTGGCGTTCAGGTGAGCATAGACAACTTCACTCAGGTCCAAGCCAGCCACAGAAGACGGAGATGCACAAGGAATGTCCCTCACCAACATATAACTCTCCATCCACTCCCTCAACCACTCCAGGTCACAGGTACACTCCCAGGGGTTTCGAAATAGATACAGGCGGCCAATGAAATAGATGGGCTGGAAGACGGAGAAGGGCAGAGAAGTCAGATTGTTGCTGTTGAGGTGCAGCGTGATGAGGCTTGTCAAGTTCTCAAAGGTGTCCTCCTCGATATAGGACAGCCTGTTTCGATCCAGGTACAGCACCTCCAGCTCCACCAGGTCACTAAACCATGTTTTGGAGACATTGGTCAACATGTTCCCACCCAGATTCAACATTTTTAAGTTGCTTAGGCCCTTGAACGCCTGCTGGGGCAAGTCGACCAACAGATTATCGTTCAGGTAGAAGTTCTCCAGATGCACTAGATCTTTGAAGGCCTCATCGTGTATCACATTTATGCGATTCTCCTGTAAGTTCAGGTACTTGAGGTTGGTTAGGCCCAACAAAGAGTTGTAGGCCACCGCTTCGATCTTGTTTCGCTCCAAGTAAACGTGCGTGAGGTTTTCCATCCCCCTTATGGCACCGGGAACACGTCGAAAGTTGTTTTGGAAGCACAGCAGTTCCTTCAGGGAGATTTGCTCCAGGAAGATGCGGTCTGGCATGCTGAACAGGTTACAGTCGGAGAGATCCAGACGCACCAAGCGCTTGAGTGCCGTGAAGGTGCGAGTGTGCAGGTAGCGGATGTACTCGTTGTGGGCCAACTTGAGCTCCAGCAAGTTGGGCAGCCCTTTAAACGCTCCCGGCGTGATGAAGGAGATGTTGTTGTGGTTGAGCGAGAGCGTCTTGAGCGAAGGCAGGGTGCCAAAGGCTCGCTCGGACAGAAACTTGATGCTGTTCTTGTCCAGGTTGATGGAGGACGCCTCGCAGGGGAACTCTTTTGGCAGGTCCATCATGTTGACGTGGTCACACAGGACGCTGCAGCTCTTCTCCTGGGTACATGTGCAGCTGGGAGGGCAAGAGCGTGTGCAGGCCCACAGGGCCAGGGCATGAGGGGGGAGGAGGAGGAGGAAGTACACTGGAGAGAAGGGAAAGAGATGTGTTAGAGGTTGACATTTAACCACAATATGCAACTAGACAAATTGTCATCTTGTCAGTACTGTATATTCATTAAGGCGTTGTTCTGAAATATTCAAACAAAATTAGTCACATGGCATGTGGGTCATTCTCAAAAAATGTTGATATTCCAACATTCACACAAACATTGTTTAATGATGTAACACTAATGACAGATTTAAATGAACCATATTTTAAACACACGTTTTCATGTTTTATGGGGACATTCCATAGGCGTAATGGTTTTTATACTGTACAAACTGTATTTTCCATTGCCCTACACCTAAACCTTATAGGAAACTTTCTACATTTTTCGATTTTCAAAAAAAACATCATTCTGTGTTATTTACAAGCTTGTTTCCTCATGGGGACCTAAAAAAATGTCCCCACAAGGTCAAAATGTACTGGTATTACTATCCTGGTGGGGCCATTTGGTCCCCATAACGTGATAAATACCAGGCTTGAATGTAAATATGCAAATGAATATTTTTTTAACATGGTGTGAATGTTCACATTTGAACAGTTGCCTAGGATATACTTTTCTAAATACGGTTTTAAACATCGCCAAGGCAAATAAAAAAAATAAAATAAATCAATAGGCAAGCATTCTTTTTAGATTACTTATTACTTTTGTTGCACCCAGTTGTTAGACCTTGTAATTGGGGTTATCCTCAGGAAACAACTACAAATAAAAAAAAAACTGTTAAATGATTATACAACCTCAGCGTTAGCCCCAACCTACTTACCAGTCAAGCATGTTTAGAAAAGGTTCTTCTGCACTGACAATTAATAAAAGCACATCCACAAGTTTGCCCACCATGACCGTGTCTGTACTGCTTCGCTCCAAGTGAAAATATGAATGGATTAAAGGTGCTATTGCTCGGTTTGTGTTTGTATGTGTGCACACATCCACTAACATCAGCACTCCCCTTCAGAAAACCATCACTTAATGGCAGAAAAATCCTGGGATTATAAGTGTTTAAAGCAGTACTCTGAAATCAAGGCGAGTAGAAATGACCCGCTGGGTAGAAATCTGTGTGCAAACAGCTAAATTCCCCACTGCTGATCGCCCTGGTCCCAAATAAATCCTGGTAAATAGTGAGAACCCTTCCCCTTTTGTAAACGAGCTGCGTATCTCCGGTCTCCTGACGCAATATTTGGAAGCTTGAGGACATGCACTAAAGACACGCACTGTATATATAAAACTTGAAATGTGCAATAAAAGAACTTTGTAAAACTCGATGGGCACAACGCACACGGGCCTAGACCTAACTTAAGTAGCACCATTCAACTCGAAGTTCTCAATACTGTCAGTGCATCTGCTTTAAAACATCATTTAAAAAAAAAAAAAAAAAAAGAAAGTCAAGGCACAACTCACTTGAGAAGAAAATCTATTGCACTTGCGATAAATGCCTTATTTCTCCTCCGCTCGACTGCTTCCGTCCGAAGCGGAAAACTGGCTCCTCGGCCAGTGGTTTAAGTTCACATCTAACCTGATGAATTTCAGGAGCTGACAGCATTCGTATTCCTGGTGTCCGGCCTCGCACAGAACAGCGGGACTCGATACAGAAGCGAAAATGGTGGCCTGTCTAACTGCACTCGCGTCAGGCCCAATGCAAAACAAATTCCCGGTTGGGATCCACCAGTGCCTCAAAATGAACTCTCGCGCTGCCTCAACCTACCAAAAAGGGAGCCATGCCTGCTGCGCAGCTTGAAAAGAGGAGACGTTTGTATTAAAAGAAAGCCTGCAACAATTCATTCGTCTTCTCTCCTTGACCAAAAAACAAAACACTAGCATGCGTATGTGACCAAAGCGGTCATGAGGCTAAGGCACGGCCGCTTTGGTTCTGTGGTCCGTTTGTAGCCATTTGAACTTCACTTTCAGGATGGCAGGCATTTTTTGTTTTGCTGACATTTGTAAAGAAACATTTTATCAAAAAACCTTGCAGTTTTTCAATAAATGGCATCTGCTTCTCTAAAATGTTGTTTCGAGAAAGAAAAGTAGTAGTTCACAAAAAATGCTGCCCACTTAAGAGTAGCTAGCATAAGGTTCTTACTAGCTGCCATAACACTGTCAAGTCAATTAAAACAAGTGGAGTAAGAAGTTCCAGCATTTTGAATTATCAAACACTGAGTGTTTCCAATATTTCGTCATGAATATCACAACTGGAATGGCCTTTTCAAGACAACCGTATCCCTAAAGAGGTGTCTCTCCAGGATAGAGTGAGCAAAACAAAAGGAAGTCAGACCGATTTGTCCCTCGTGACACAGATGCATCACAGAGCGCTTCTGCACAGCACCTGTGATGTGTTTTACTTTGTGGCTTGTATTGTTGGCTTTGTGATATCGATGGTGATAATTTGACGTTCAAATGGAACAGCGACTCTCTGAGTCACGTTATCCCAGTATTTGCCAAGGTTTGATTAAGTACAAGCTTTCAAATGCCTTTACAGCAAAAAACTAAAACAAAAAAATTAAGCTCTTGGCAAAGTTCACTCGACGAAATTAACAAAACTAAATTCCTGTCTATATTCAAAAAGGCACAGTACATTCACATACAAATGATCCTCTTTTTTAACAAAGAAAAAGTCAGAAACCTAGGTGCTGTAATGGATCAAATACACAAGTGGGCATCCTTGTTATTCTGCTCCGGTTTTGCCACAGATCAGCTCCCTTTAGAATGTGGGCAGAGAATCACAGCGTGTAATGTACCGAGTTCATAAAGCTACACAGGGGGTAGAGTCTGGCTATGATAACATGTGGTTTCCGTTCGGCTAGTTTGGCAAACGTATATTTAGCTGCCCCACCAGTCCACCTGGGCATAGTTTCCTCCATAGTTTCCATAGTTGCCCCCGTAGCTGTCACCACCGAAGCTCCCAAAACCACCTAAAACAGACGATGAATTCAGGACTGTCCACGGACTCAGTAACACTTTACAGTAAAATTAAAGGGGTCATGAACTGCCTTTTTTATTTTCTTGTTTATTTTGTATTGTTCGCTGAGGTTCTCTTAAAATGTTACCAAGACTTTTACATTTAAAAAAAAAAAAAAAAAAAAAAAATTGTAGAAGTAATAGGCTATTTTCAGTCCTGTTTTTGAACGAACACGCATCGCTCTGTTTGAATAGGCGTGGCGAATTGTAGACTCTGCAGTAAACGCCCACTGCTATGATTGGCTAGCAGCATACATTCATTCCTCATAGATGGACGCTGCTGTGATTTAGGTCAAAAATGCATAAATACTCGGTACATATCAAATGATCTGTTTAACAGAAAGCAATAGTGATCACGTAACGACAACAGTTACTCACACTTGTGTTGCGACATTACTGTCGGATCAAATATAGTTGGCACACCATTGTCTTTTAGTTTCTATTTTTCTTAAAATCCTGTGCTGAATTGTGCCTTGTTTGTAAATGAATCAGTGATTAAATGAAGTGAACAAAGGACCAAGTTCTTACTGACGAGGTCTGGCACTTCTAAAAAAAAAAAAAAAATTAAATTAAAGTTCATCAAATAAAGTTTATAATTTGGTTTCTGCACAGACCTGCGTTTGCCGCTCTTATTCACCTACTACAAGTGTGAATCGGTGGGCGGGGCTAAACAGGCAGCGATGTAGAAGCAGGTGTTGATAATCTTCTGTGGAGGCAGTGTTTAGTCACACTAATGATGTAATAAAAGTAGCACATTCCGTCGTTTTGGGAGATTGGCTTTAATATATGTTTATAGGCTAGACCAGTGGTTCCCAATCCTGGTCCTGCAGAACCCCCAATGCAGCACATTTTAGATGTCTCCCTATTCAAACACACCCGATTCAACTCATTAGTGAAGACTCCAAGACCTCAAATGTGAGTGTCAGATAAGAGAGACGCCAAAAACGTGCAGTGTTGGGGGTTCTCCAGGACCAGGATTGGGAAACACTGGGCTAGACTAACAAGTAAGTTTCAGAACGCAAAGCTTTCGGGTTATTTTTATAGTACAATGACCTCTTATGTCAAAAGATCAATGCAATTTTGATTTAGCAGTTCATGACTCCATTAAATGCCAATGAATACTGTAAAAATGTTGTTTACTGTAAGTTTATTCATTTAGGATAAATGTTAAATTTAAAAAGTTAACTAATTGAACATTATTATAAGTGGCAAATCATAAGATGGGGTTTTCAAGTTAAACTAACCCTTATTGCCTCCAAAACCTCTATTCCCTCCATGGCCACCAGTGTTGCGAGCACCACGGTTGTTGAAAGCATTGCCACCTCCAGCCATCTGGCGGTAATCCCTGGCCCCAAAGCCACCAGAGAATCTGCAGAAGAAGAGTAACGTCATGAACCTGGAAAATACATAAACCCACTGGGGAGATCTGGAGAGCTTGGATGTTTGCGTACCTCTTGGGGCGTCCACGGTTGGTGCTCTTGTGCTGGTGCTCATAGGCTAGGTTCTCAAGCCAGGAAGGCACCTCCTGTTTGGCCTCCACCAAGATGTCCAGCAGATCTTTAGTGATGTTGCTGTTCTTATCATTATAGAAGGATGTGGCCAGTCCTGAAAATAAATCACTCTCTCAAACAGAGTTCCTGGCAAAAACGAGAAATGCAAGATATTTCCAAAAACGACAGCAAAACTCACCAAGGTTTCCTACACGGCCTGTACGACCGATGCGGTGGACGTATTCCTCAATGTCACTGGGCAAGTCAAAATTGATCACGTGTTTCACGTTGGAGATGTCAAGGCCACGTGCTGCCACCTATCAAGGCAAAAACACAATCAGATAAATAAGCTTGAGGAAAACCACAGGCTTCCAGTGAACTCACAAACTCTACTCACAGCGGTGGCAACCATGATAGGGCAGCGCCCAGAGCGGAACTGGTGGAGCGCTTCCTCACGGTCACGCTGAGACCGGTCACCATGGATACTGGTGCAGGCATAGCCTTCGCGGTAGAGGAAGTCCTCAAGAGCATCAGCACCCTTCTTAGTCTCCACAAACACCAGTGTGAGAGAATCCTTGCCTACAAAGACAAGAATAAGTCACTATGGATAAAAGCAGCTTGCAAATTAAGAAATGCTTTTGTAAGCTTAATTATCTGCATTCAATGCAATATTAAACACAGCTTGCTTCTTTACCGTAGTCGAGTTTTGGCATGATGGCATGAAAATGTAGAACACACTGCCATTAATATGTCCCACTACGTGACTTCATTCCCTCCTTTTAAGCTACTAAACAGCAACCTTCTGCTACAGTCTTTGCTTCGATAATGTTGGCATGGTAACACTGACCAACGAGACTTATCTAAAAGCATAGGTGTCTCAGTGCTGTGTTGCTATGGATATACATAAGAGCTTCACCAAGTCAGTCAGTCAGTTTCTACATGTTTACTAGCACAACAATAAATCAGTCTTTATCTCTTTAGTGTCACATTTAAAAATGACTTCACAGAGATTTAAGATGCTTTTAAAAGTATTTTTAAGAAAAATGTTATTCAAAAGCAAATGAAATTATAGAAGCGATTAAAAAAAAAATATATATATATATATATATATATATATATACCATACCACTATTTATTAGGGATAGCAAGATTCACATTTATGCATTGGCAGAAAAAGTAATGATGTGATGCATTGATTTGGAAAAAAAAAAAAAAAGAGGGCGCATCGGACACAAGTTGGCATCTGTACCATGATGCATCGTTTATAACATTTGCATCGGTAAAAATTGATTCATTTATATATAATTATTACTAGACGCCAAAAAAAGTGGGCAATAATTTGTGCCCAGTATTTTATATATGTAGATTGATTTCTCTTCTCTAAACTGTTTCTCAAGTGCATTCTCATCACTGCTGCTATGTAAATATGACGTGTCACAAAACTACGGAGACTGAGGTGTTAGATGTCAGAAGGCACTTAAATTAATTCATGACTTTGTCGGTCTGAACTAAAGAAAGAAATGCGAACTCTCTTTACCATATTGAATTGCATAGCATCATATTTTTTTTCCCATTGCATCATATTGCATTGAATCGCATGGTGTTGAATCAAAATCAGATTGCACTGCATTGTAATGGGGTGAATCGCATCTCATCGGTAGCTGCTTCATATCAATCTTTAATGTATTGTATCATTGGCTATGCATCGAGATGCGGATCGCATCAGCCTCAGTTATGGAGATGCACATCCCTACCATTTATGGTATTAGTTTTAAAATCTAGTTACACAATACAATAAAATCTATACACCCATATATATCATCACGCTGAGTTGACCAAATCTGTTATTCCTGAAACAAGCTATCAAGGACCCAATGACATTGTAAAACATTGGCCAAGGGAAGGTGATTTACCTGTTGCATTAAGCAGGTCAAGAAGGAAGGAGCGCTTGTCATTTTCTTCCACCCAAACCACCTTCTGGGTGATATTCTCTGAGGTGGAGCCCACACGGCCCACAGCCAGGAAGATGTACTCCTCCAGAAAGTCACGGGCCAGAATCTTACAATATAAAAGGTACGGATGCAGTTTTATATTGCGATCAAATTTTATTTAAAATTCATAGTGACTCTCACTGGTAAGACTCATGTATGCATACCTGGATCTCTTTTGGGAAGGTGGCACTGAACATCATGGTCTGGCGAGCACCTTTAGGAGGCATGGTGTCCTGCTCCACAATACGTCTGATCTGGGGTTCAAAACCCATATCGAGCATTCTGTCTGCCTCATCCAACACCAGGTATCTACACAGAATGTATAAAGTCATTTTTCTGAACTAAGACATATTTGAGGTCAAAGAAAACCTACAATCTTTCTGCTACTAGATTCACTTACTTGCAGTAGTCTAGGCCAATCTTGCCCCGCTCCATCATGTCTACCAGACGACCCGGTGTGGCCACTAGCAGGTGACAGCCTCTTTCCAAATCACGGATCTGCTGCCCTATATCTGCGCCTCCGTACACCACACACGGGCGCACTCTGGAGCGGTAAGAGAACTGCAGAAGATGACAACAAAATTAGTTGAGGCGAGCTTAATTTAAACCAACTTTTGCTAACCTGTAGCTGGTTTACCAGAAACATACCTTTCTGGCCTCATCATAAATTTGAAGAGCAAGTTCTCTGGTTGGAGCCAGAACCAGAGAGATGGGATACTGCTTACGACGGCCGTACTTCCCATTCTCCTGCTTGAGAAAGACCAAAACAAAATGCTTTCATGACAGAAGCAGAACTTCTTTCCGTCACCAGACTCCATGCACAACTTCTGGCCAATAAAGAAATGTATAGCAACCTGGGTGCTGGCTTGGGTGGCCTGCAGTGCCTCTCCAGGTCCATCAGTGTAGATCTGACTAAGGACAGGAAGCAAGAAGGCTGCAGTCTTCCCCGAGCCTGAGAAAACGAAGCACATTGCTCTTCACTGCTCATACAGCTGCAATTTCATCTTCATGGGACAGCCAAAGCCAGACTTCGCACATTCAACCTAGTCAACATTGTGGTTTATTCTGACAAAGCCCTGCCTGCTGAGACCGGAAGTAGAAGGGGTACATTTTCAAAAGGATCAGTCACTCTACTCTTGGCATGAACTTGGGCTCACAGCTTCTCATTTTACTCAAGTCGATCAGAAAATCATTTACTTAATCAGCAGGTCAATGTTTACATTATGTAAATGACCCACAACATAGAATGCAGCATCAGCAGTCTTAGCAGTTCCTACTAAATTCAGCTAAAGCTATTAACATTGTCAAACTGTGCAAAAAAAAAAAATGTATCCTAGTTTTACTTTGTCATCACATAATTGCAAATATAGTTGGTTCAGTTCAACTGGCATGCAATTTTAGACCATTTATCCCCCCGTAGACAGACACAGTGGTCGACTGTCTAATGGCCCACCTGTTTGAGCACAGGCCATCAGGTCCCTCTTGGTCTTGATGATGGGGATTGCATACTTTTGAACAGGAGTAGGCCGTGTGTAGCGGGTCAGAGTGATGTTGCTCATAATGATCTCGCCCATGTCCACATCATGGAACTGAAAGACAAATAGAAACCATCATCCACCGGTTTCTTTAGCAGCCCTCCACCTTATTTGTTTTGCCACTTGATTCAACAAGGCACTGATTATTAGGCTTACACTCTCAATATGCCCAGGACTGTTTGTTCCAGTGGCCTCCACAGGAATGTCATCATACTTCTCAAAGTTAATCCCCGTGTTGCTCCCAGAAAACAGCTCCCTGTCGTTTGGAGGGGGAGACAGAGGACAAAACAATGGCTTAAATCACAGAGACAGATGGACTAAGGAGACAGGACACAGTGCGATTAGCAGCGGGCCACTTACTGTTCCAGACGCTCATTGGGGGACAGTGGCTTTGACCAGTCCTCTTCATCTCTGGATTCTTCAACCCAACGACTGTTCCCTCCTGTTCCTCCTCCAAAGCCTCCACGCTCATACCTGCTAAGAAACATTTGTTTTTAATAAAATCACGGCAGCACAACGCAATGAATACTCAATTTTTACATGATCTATTACTTCTAAGCACACTGCATTAACAGGCTTAATCAATCACCCCATTGTTTGGAAAAGTAGTGCATAACCAAACCAAGCCATTTTAGGCATCATTTAACATGTAAATTTAGGCACCAGAAGAGGAATCTGGATTATTACATATATGAGCAAAAATGTCAAAATGCCCATCTTGACGTGTAGCTTCATAAACATTCTAAAGTGAACATACACAGTTGGGAGGTTGAGAACCTTTTACTTACAATACTTAGGTTAGTATTACATTTTGCCATATTAAAATAGGTGGTGAAAATCTGTGAAATTTCAATAGTATCTAAAACAAATGTTACAATACTGCACTCTTCCTCACCTTCCTCTTGAGCCAGCTCCTCTATCATTGAAGGCAGACTTCCCTCTGTCAGAACGCCCACCAAAGCTAGTGTAGGCATCACTGTTTACCACAGAGTTCCAGCCTCCATCTTTGTTCTCATAACTGCCATAACCTGCAATTTCATTATGTTAGACGATTAAAACATGTACAACCTGCAAAACAATCACTCTTCTATAATTTCAAAGACTTTTAAAAAACTCTCACCCGCATTATGCATTGGCTGGTTGAAGGAACCACCGTTCCTATTTCCACGAAAGCCACCACGTCCACCTCTGTCATTACGAGGAGGTCCACGGCCGAAGTTTGCAGTCCCATTCATATGACCGTCTTGGTACCCATTGACAAAACCATTGCTACGACCGCCGTCCCATCCTGGAGAATCTTTCAAAAAGGGACAGACAGGTAGAGAACGTGAGGATACTGAGGGAATGGCTCTAATTTACAACTTGGCTTAAAGCCAAGACTGGTTTCAGTGATGGTTGAGTGAGTGGCAGATGTGAAAAAGCCAGTAAGCAATTTGCTCCTACGGCAACAAATAGAACAATTCAAGCGTGTTGCAGACCAGACAAACAGGTTCATGGCACTGCTTTAAAAAAATAAATAAATTAAAAAAAATTTAACCCACACACAGAAAGAACCGTGGCATATTTGGCCAAAACGGGCACTCCGTGTTTACAAAACCATGTGAAAGAAAAACAACCTGTTCAGCCATCCCAGTGACTCACCCAACTATTCCTTTCTGAGAAAAATCCAGTTTAAGGAACAAAGAGCACACACACTCTAAAAATCACATCATGTGATTGTTTATAGAGCAATGTACTTTATCAAACAAGGTCGTGACATGCACACAAAGAGAAAAATCTTATAAGCACTAGAGCCTATACAGATGAATCACCACTTAAACTGGAGATCATTTTCTGTCCGAAAACCACCGAAAGCAGGCCAAGCCATGCCACGGTCTGATGCTCAAAATTTACCAGAGCGATCAGCCCAGCTGATAACACTGGCTGCGTCCTCATTTCCATCGGTGGCTACACTGCTGTCGGTACGCGCAGGAGAGGCTGCAAGTGACACACACACAGAAATTAGCCTGGATTGTGCTCATGCAGATGCATACCCACTCTTCATTACTCCAGTGAACAAAAACAGGCCAAAAACACAAATAACTTGCATATCCGACTTCCTCAGATGTGGTTATACCACACAACCAAACATTAGCTTTCCAAACTAACTTTAAAAGAACACAAATCACTGCTAACCTACTTGCTAATCAGAAAGCTAAGGCATACTGTCAAACAGACGATGAGGAATCATCAAATATCACAACTGTGGCAGGCAGTAAATGCAATAGAAGTCAAAGTAAACAGCAAACAATCCCTTAAGTAAAAAATATTTGCCTACAGTCTCACAACAAACTTGAGAGAGAGAGAAAAAAAACGCATCAGGAGTTGGACATGGTGTCTCTTGGCAAGTATGAAAACAAACAATTGACATGGCAGCAGTGAAACGTCAAAGCTCAGATCAGTTGATCTTGCTAATTGGCATGAACAACTTACGTAGTGGTGCAGTTAGAGCTGTTAACATATGAATCACTTAGTATAACTTTAAAAGAACACAAATCACTGCTAACCTACTTGCTAATCAGAAAGCTAAGGCATACTGTCAAACAGACGATGAGGAATCATCAAATATCACAACTGTGGCAGGCAGTAAATGCAATAGAAGTCAAAGTAAACAGCAAACAATCCCTTAAGTAAAAAATATTTGCCTACAGTCTCACAACAAACTTGAGAGAGAGAGAAAAAAAACGCATCAGGAGTTGGACATGGTGTCTCTTGGCAAGTATGAAAACAAACAATTGACGTGGCAGCAGTGAAACGTCAAAGCTCAGATCAGTTGATCTTGCTAATTGGCATGAACAACTTACGTAGTGGTGCAGTTAGAGCTGTTAACATATGAATCACTTAGTATATAAAAAAACACAATTAAAAAAACACAAAAAAAAAAAAAAGTCTCAAAGAAACTTTTTTTTTTTAAATAGTCCAGGTTTTGTAGTGATACTAGAAAGCCCTGAAAGACAGTTAAGTGTTTTTGTCTGTCAATATGTATTTTCACATGACAGTTATTGAATCGTAGACATCCAAGAAAATGTTAAAGGCACCCATTCAAATTTTTTTTTACAGCAACTCAAAAGGACAAAACTCATATTTCAAATCCTAAATATTTGCAGGCATCTGCAAATTTCCAATTTGATAAAACTATTTCTCACTTTATCCACCGTTTGTAATGTAAACCAGCATAACATACCATTTTGTGATGCGTCTTTGTTTCTCAAATGAGGAGGAATGTAACGCCCTGAAAGAAAATAAACATTCATCTTTATTATAAACTTGCATTTAAAATGTGCACTTCAAACTTCCAAAAAAAAAAAAAAAATGCAAATACAAAACAACTATGTGGAGGATGTTTATGCTTTGCAGGCATTCAATCTGAATGTGGTAAAAGCACTAAATGAGATGAATCACTTACGACCAGAGCCAGCACCCTGTCCATCAGCTGAGTTCAAGTCTAAGACAGCAAGCTGAAAGACAGAAAGAGCAAAGTGGGCCACAATTAGTACACTACCAGCTACAAATACAGTGTGTAAACCAAAAACAGTACTGAGTCAGAGGAATTACAAACCTGTATGACTTTTTCTTCAATAGAACACAAAAGGAGACGTTTAGCCTCAATCACCTTTCCATTTTAGTCCACATCTTTTGTTGTTTTTCATGAAAATAAAGTAAAAAAATCTGCCTTACAGCTCTTGTGTTCCATTGAAGAAAGTCAAAAAAAAAGTTCACAACAACATTAGGCATGAGTAAACAATGACAGTTGTGACCACTGACAAATCTTAACCTTTATATGTAGCCAATTTCATAACTGCATCCATTTTGAAAGTTTTAAAATGCTTTGTCACGAACACCATCTTTCAGAGGGGTAAAGTATAATTAAACAGCTTTGATCACGTGACTGTTTACATCAGCTATGTAAAAAATGTCACATGAAATTAAGACCGCCTGTGTGGTCATTTACAGTTGACAACTGTATAAAATACAAAAACTCTTTTAGATCCTTTAAATTAACATTTGGTCACAAATGTAGCTGCTGGGATTAAATTGGTTAATCAAATTTCAAAACGCCTGCCACAAATGTTTGGCAAGCCTTCATGGCCCTAGTCAAGCCTAAAGCCTTTGGTCATGAAACCAAGAAACACTTCGAATTGGTCATATGGTGACTCATCTAGAAATTGCTTAATAGATAAAACTGATTAAAACCATCATCAGCCCGTTATTCACAGAATTATTCAATCTTATACAATTTAAAGGCTGCATGGTAAACAGGCCGCAGACTCAAATGTCCGACAGATTTCGACGCCATGCGTTTTTTAACAGCATCTCTAAAGAGACGAACTATTCTAAAGCTTTTACATAAATAATAGAAACTTTATTTAGTGTTACGATGACGGAAAAAGTTCAGTGCTGATGTTGATTCTGGAAAGCCGGTGGCCGAAATCATCTAAACTAAAGAGATAAACAGGAAAAGGCGTCGGCTATGTATCAAACAACACTTTAAACTCCAAATGTGGACAAGAGAACATAATTGTGGTAATACTGTATCTCTTGAATTCTCGATCTTCAATGAAGGAAAAGATTACAACACGAGGAACTGCGGCGGTGTCTCGACACCTAAAGTTACCGAGGTGCCTTCCTTGACAGCATTTTTGAGGCAAAGCAAAGCCGTCTATAAAGGCAGCTCACTAGGTTTTACGACGTAACGTTAGCCTCCGTGTCAAAACCAAGCGATTACAGAGCTCGCGTTTTTAAACATTTTCACAGCCTACCTGCTGGTCTAGACCGTGTGAACCGTCGACGACCACATGACTCATAACTAAAGAGAATAAGTGAGGATTACTCCTTTATTTCTGTGAAGCTGTTTTTTTGTTGTTGTCTAAAGGATTTCAGCCAAGTCTCCTTTTACAACGACGTCACTTGCTCTTTTTGTAGTCCTGTCCTTCTCCAGGGGCTTTTTGTGTCAAGACCACCGTAAGGAAAAAAGAAGGAAATGTTAACGTGTAAGTTACCCCCCTTCAGTCCTTGTATTGGCACAATAAATCCCGCAATGTGAAGTTTCTTTCGCGATGTCTGTGTACGCAGCCCGGCGTGTGCTTGTGCTGGGGTTGTTGGCTTCAGGCTAAATGCCATTGGATCAGCGAACGGAGGAAAGACGTCACGGAGACCGAAATATCGCGAGATGTAGCCGCCTCCGGGCACACCGTGTCAAAAATACGTATTTTGTAATGTTCTGAGCTTTGATAATCTTCCACTTTGTACACTTTGTACAGAAGAACGTTTCTTCTACTTGTGGTTGGCACTTTGATGTCCTCCTTGATTTTTATTCACTTATTTATCACGTGTTTATCATTCATTTCAAATGCTTTCTATATATAAAGGTAAATATATAACTCGTGAACAGGTCATTTTCAAATGATGTAAAATGGTAGAAACACTGTATATTTAGGATGCATAAAATGCTATCTGAAATGAATCAATGTACAAAATTTGAGAATAACGGTAATAAACAGAATTAAAAGAGAAATGTGATGGAAATGACACTGTGATTGAAATATTCATGACTTAATAAATGACAAGAATTTTGCGATGGACACGTAATGGACAAATTACATACACTGAGAGTGTGAGAGCCTTTTGTTGATAACAGGCATACGTTTAATGAAGCACAAAATGTGCAATAACATAATTTTTAGACAATAGACAACGATTTAGCCATTTTAGTCCAGTGCCTCTAAATATCGCTATATTTTTATGGGCGTTTTTTTCAACTTATGGCACTTTTAAGTCCCACTTTTCACAAGATTTTCATTGTGAACTTATTTGTTATGCATTTATTATTAATTTCTGAAAATGACACTGAATGAAATGATAAGACTTCTGTGATGCACATTAACTGTTTGTAATTATTAGTGGACAAATTAGACTAGTGTGCGAGCGAGAGCCTTCTTTAGGTTAAAACCAGAAAACACCACCAAAATATACAATAGCATGTTTTTAAACAGCAGACAACAATTCGATCCATTTTGTCCAATACTGCAACAGACAGATGATTGACCCGATGCTGCCTCCTCATGGTTTCTTTTCATACTACCTTGTGTACCTATATACAGCATATGCTTGTTATTATCATTATCACGATACATACACCACGAAGAAGGTAATACTATATTAAATAGCATATTGGGAGCAACTATGCTTGTGTCACCAGTGTAAAATAAAACGCTCGGTGCTTTAATTTCAGATGGTTCCCATGTTCAGCCTCTAGGGGGCGGACCACAGACTGAACACACATCCGGGTACTTGAGCCCCCTCTCCCCCGCCCATTTCTCCGGAAGAAAAGCCCCACCGTTCCCTTTTTACTTCCTCTTTCCGTCAACGGAGTTTAGGTATGAGAAACAATCTTCTGTCTCTGCTCAATCTGATTGCAATCACCGTTTAAAGTTCACCATCCACGTATACAACAAGCCGTATAATGTCAACATTTTACTTAAGGTCATATCTGCTCCCTTCTGGGTCTCTCAGTATTGAGACTGAATGTGATATTTATAAGAGTAGCGATGGTGTATCTGCGGTCATGTTGTGGCCTAGAGCGCCGGGTGACTCGGCGGAGTTTATTGCAACTAAACAGGCTTAATACATTTGTTAACCAGCGAATAAGTATGCGTTCTTAATCGTGCGTGGGTTCGCTAGTTAGTGTGGGATACTGTTAACTACAAGCTATTCGTAAGTCATTTATGAATTCATTATAGTGGCTGTCAGTGTGTTAAACGAATAGTTGTCTTAAAATTGAAATTGTTATTCCCAATTTCAATGTCTTTATTCCGTCTGTTGAGCAAAACAAGCAGATGTGAAGCAGCCTGACAGCTTATGTGTGTATTTTCATTGCAGCCTTTTCTTTGTAATGTGAGTGGTGACCATGTGAGTTGTAATGCAGAATGAAATACTGCCTCTATGTAAATATAGCATTGAAATGTCTTATTAAACGTGTTATTGCTTATTTCTACAGGCCGCAATGGGACGTGTGATCAGGGGACAGAGAAAAGGTGCGGGCTCCGTCTTCAAAGCCCATGTCAAGCACAGAAAAGGTGCTGCTAAACTCCGTCATATTGACTTTGCTGAACGCCATGGCTACATCAAGGGGATTGTGAAGGTAACATTGTGAAAAATGAAATCTTGAAAAGACCACTTGTCATCTGGAGAGGGAAGTTGCAAAGAAAAATTCTGCTTTTTCCTCTAGGACATCATTCACGACCCTGGCCGTGGAGCTCCCCTGGCTAAGGTGATGTTCCGTGACCCATACCGCTTCAAGAAGAGGACAGAACTGTTCATTGCAGCTGAAGGCATCCACACTGGGCAGTTCATCTACTGTGGCAAGAAAGGCAAGGCATTTTAAGTTGAGAAATGGTCAAACAAACATCCGGTCTTATGTGCACATGTTGATCAAAGTGATTGGACTGTTATAGCCCAGCTGAACATTGGCAATGTGCTCCCCGTTGGCACCATGCCTGAGGGTACCATTGTCTGCTGTCTGGAGGAGAAGCCCGGAGATAGAGGCAAACTCGCTCGTGCATCCGGCAACTACGCCACAGTCATCTCCCATAACCCTGAAACCAAGAAATCCAGAGTCAAGCTTCCATCTGGATCCAAAAAAGTAATCTCTTCTGCAAACAGAGCTGTTGTTGGTAAGCAAACATGAAGGTTTTTGGTTAACCTATTGTGTTTCTTGCATGGTTATAAATCAGATTTTATTGATTTTAATTTAGTGAAATCCTCAGACTTTTTTTTTTCTAATCTGTCATAAAGGAACAATTTTCTTTTGTGGTGCTTGCCGTTGAGTCTCTCCATTGACATATGCTGTGATCATAGGGATCTATAATTTGAGAATATAATTTGTGGATGTGTTCTCTAGCACAGGGTTTCTCAAATTTGAAGGGGTTTGTAACTTGAAGAGCTACAGACGACAAAAATTTTACATTTAATTTTTCAAATTATTAAAAACATCTGAAAGTGAAATGACAGATGTTAAAATATGAACCACCTAAATCTCAGGTGGTGCTTTAAAATGTCAGAGGTTCAACTCTCAAAGTTTGGGAATCCCTGCTATAGCAAATGATTAGGGGTGTTTGTGTTCAATTTTGAATCTCCAAGTCTTAAATATAAACTGAAGTCTATTGCCTCTTATTAAAGGTGTTGTTGCTGGTGGTGGTCGTATTGACAAACCCATCCTGAAGGCAGGACGTGCATACCACAAGTACAAGGCCAAGAGGAACTGCTGGCCTCGTGTCCGTGGTGTGGCTATGAACGTAAGCAAACTTCATTTGTATTTCTTTGTGATTTCAGGTAATTTCAGATTCTGATTTGTTGCCTAAATGCTGGTTTTAAATCTGACCCATGCTGTTTGTTCTCCAGCCTGTTGAGCATCCATTCGGTGGTGGTAACCATCAGCATATTGGCAAGCCCTCAACAATCAGGAGGGACGCACCTGCTGGACGCAAGGTCGGTCTCATCGCTGCCCGTCGTACTGGCAGACTGCGTGGAACAAAGACCGTCCAGGACAAGGAAAACTAATGTGCATCTTCATAATAAAATGTGTCCCAACAAATTTCATTTGCCTTCTGAGGTCTTTTTCATAGGAACACTGCACAACATCAAAAGCATAAAAACAAACACTGTTTAATCAAATTAACAAAAGAAAAAAAAATATATGTATTAGAATGGCACATAGTACCTGCTTTTAATTTTACATTTGTAATGGGTGAATTTTTAGAAGTTAGAAGGGTTCCGTCATAAAGAGTTTCTACTGTCAGTAAAAATTTAATTTTAAAGTGGTATACAATCCTGAAAAGGTCTTTTAAAATATTAAATTATTTTAAAGTATAGTAAAAGATATTAAAGTATCAAATTATACTCTGATCAGCTGGAAACCCATTATACACAAAAATATAGAACTTTTGAAATCATTCCGGTCTGTAATGAGTAACAAAAATGTGTGGGAACATTAAAACAAGGGTATGGAAAGTTACAGAATCACCCATTGGTCTTGTAGACAACATAAGTCTTTGATACAGAATATATAACTAGTAATGACAAGAACTTTGAGTTGATTTATAAATGTGAGTCATATCCATGTCTGGGCGGCAAGACAAATTTCTAGTGTTTTTTCAAGCAGTCCACAGTTGTGCTCAGTCTTCCCAGACTCGCTTCATTCCCTGCTGAAAAACAGTTCTCACCCTGCACATATTAAGAATGGCCTTATGGGTGTTATGTTAAGCATGGCAGGTGAACTCTGCAACCTACCCAACAGGAAGAACAATTTAAGTGTTCTCAGGAATCTGTTGGAAGTATTTGCCTTGGACTATTAAAGATATTAAATTCCAAGAGATATACAGGTATATTAAGCAAAAATAATTTCCCATAATTCAACTTAGTATTCCCAGGATTGTTGTATTCTGAGGAAAATGTGTTCATGTAGGTTTAATGGATTTTATTTGTTGCTGTGTCTTTTCTAATCAGAGACAGCTTAAAAAGAAGTATATGGTTTTGGAATAGCAGTCCAAACTGGTTTAAAACAAGTACAAGTGAATTCTTTTCAACTACAAGACCAACACTAAGAGGTTTATAAGCATGTTATTGACATTCCATAAAAATACTTGAAATATGTGCCCTGGACCTCAAAAGAGTCATAAGCAGCATGGGCATATTTATAGCAATAGCTTTCCTTACAATACATTATATGGGTCAAAATTA